TTTTTTTGTTAGAATATAAACAAGAATTGAATGAAACATGTAGCATTCAAATCGAGCAGTAGCCGTGATTTCTACATCGCCTGGACTCTGGGGTTTCAAATAGTGCAAACGCGCAAAGAAATCAACTGGGGCAGAGTCTTCGGGGGCCAAAACCGATTCGAAGGGAAAAACGTTTACTACTTCCTATTCACCAGTAGATTCGAATTCTAAAGCTTCGCAGGTGCCAGCCATCAGGAAGTCTTACTACTTGAGACTAAACTTGTGTGAAGAAGCCAAGTTCGGTTATTCGGAGTAGAAGCGTTGTCTCGAAGATTAGATTGTCAATGTAGTACTGTTTGTTTTGAGACCACATTGGAATGCACCCGTTTTTTGGAGCTTATTTCAATTAGCAGCAAAATAAAGATGAGGTAGGGTAACATTAAAAAACGAAAAACAAATGCAAAGAACACTTGCCCTCAGAGTGGTGTCTCTATTCAAGTGACCACCCTGACAGCATTACCTGTAATGTTTACCCAGTACGGTGAACTGACTCGCATTTCGACGTTTTTCAGTTCAATTTCAATTTCAAAAATATGGTATGTGAAGGATTTTTGCCGTCAGGCCGAAAAAAGTGCAAAGTTCGAGAACATAAGGTCCAACCTCTTTTCTTCAATTACTTTCCTTCTTGTTGAACCGTTTGCAGGCTGTCAGCCGTAATTTTCCTTCTTAGCAGCTCCTTTGCATGCGTCTTCTTTGCTCAGTTTGACAGAGCCTGTCCGTTTTAATGGTAGTGGATCTTTTTAGGGCTTTTCGAAGCCGTCGAAACCCTCAGGCCACTGCAATAAAATATTTGTAAACAGAAAAACATCATCAAAAGATGAAAGTGAACGGTCAGCAGAGATTCCCTTTTTCTCTCACTTCTCGATCAGCGTGGAAGAAAGGAGTAGTGGAAAATTAGTTACAACTTAGGAAGATGTGGATTAGAATTTCACTGTAATAGTCAGGAAGTTTCCATATCCGAAAGGCGAGCTGCTGGAATTAGGCGGAGCACTTCGGGGTGAAGCCGCAGGGTCACCGGTCGCTGCATGGCATCCGAGGGTCCCAGCCGTCCGCTTTCATCCTCAGGGGACTACTGTTTCACAGTTAGCCGTAAAGTTGACAATTCTTCGCTTCAGTTGAGGAGTGATTCCCCAGGTTCGCTAATATCAAAAGTCGTGATATAAATGTAACGTCCTATCAGGACTTACTCTTAACCTGATAGCAGTAAAAGGATAACTTGTCTGGAAAAAGCATTAGAACAAAATTTTCGAATTCTTCTGTAAGTTCCTTCCTGCGTACTAGAAAGATTCGTTCGATGACGTTTCAATTCCTGAGCTCTACTAGAAACCCCAAAGAGCCTTCTACACTATCACCTGGAACCACTTGTTTTTAAATCATGCTCTGCCTCCGTGGCTGAGGAGTCAAAAGTAAAGTAATTCAAGAAGTAATCGCCGTGGCTGAGGAGTCAAAAGTAAAGTAATTCAAGAAGTAATCGCCAGAAATTCAAGAAGGGTGAGCAGTGTGTCTCGATTACAGTTTGGATAGTACCGGTAGGCAGGTTCCCCAAAATTGTGGACTCCCTGTGTCAGTTATTGTGTCAAAAACTAAAACTTTCAAAACTAGTAGGTGGAGTTGTAGATAAAGACGATGGAATGCCGATTGGAGATGTTTCCATGGACACAGATGTTCAAAGAATGACCAGTTAGAAAGAGAGCGAACAACAACGACCTTATGGACAAATTTTTTCGAAGTGGACCTATTGCGACTTCATACTATTAGATTCGCGAATGGAGAAGCTCCCATCATTTCTACGCTGACATATTTTTTTCAAAATAATGTTTATTAATAATTCTTGGT